TATATCCGAGTCAAGGACCGACGGGAGGAGGGTTTGTGGTCAGGGTAGCGATGGACGGGGTACAAGGGAAAGGAGGACGGTGGGAGGCGGCCTGGTGTCGGATAAGAGAGGGGGAGGAGTGGGTAGGAACGACGGCGTCAGAGGGGTCGAGGATCGAGTGCGTGATGCCAGCACATGGGAGAGGGAACGCATCGCTGGAGGTCAGCCTCAACGGGCAGGACTGGTCCACGGGAGGGCGGGTCGAGTACAGAGAGCCGCGGTGCGAGGTGGTAAGGGTAGAGCCGTCGCTGGGGCCAGAGAGGGGCGGTACGGTAGTGGAGGTCAGGGTGAGAGGTTGGGCGACAGCAGGAGGGTCAGGGGGAGGGTCAGCGGTCTGCATGTACGACGGGGAGGCAGGGGTGGAGGGGACGGTTGACGGAGGGGGAGTAGTACGATGCATGACGCCCGGGGCAAGACGGGGAGGGGGAAGCGAGCCAGGGCGGGAGGTCGAGGTGAGCGTCGAGGCAGTAGGCACAGAGGGCCGGTGCAGCGGAGGAAGGTACATGTACTACGGGGGGGTAGAGGTAACGGGGGTGAGGCCTTCGATCGTTACAGCGGGGACGGGGACGGCGCTGACGGTAGTAGGGAGCGGCTTCTTTGCTGGGTTGCGAATGCAATGCAGTTTTCGACTAAGACATCGAATGCTGTCTGAGTTTTTGCCTCTTTTTCATTCTTTTTATTCATCCAGGGTTGTTGTTTGTTGGCTCCCTGCTGTTTTATCCGAAAAGTTGAAACTTTTTGATTTTCGTTTTTTAGTATCCGATTTGGTTTTTGATTCTACATTACGGATTGTTACTAGCCCAAAACTAGATGGCGTTTTTCCTTCGTTTATTGGTGTTGGGTACGCAGGTTGGATCACAATGTTCAGTCACTCAGATGTTTTCTCTTTGTTGTATGACCTAGACTTGCAATGTCGCTTTGGAGACGTTGTATCAACAGCCGTCATAATAGATGGAAAACGTGTAAATTGTTCTATCTTTGCTACAAGAATCGGAAACATATCGCTTTCTTTGTATCTCGCGAACAGGTCGTTTGGTGTAACTCCCGTTATAGTTCAAGTAAAGGAGCAAGCATTTCATTCTACATCTACTTGCAGCAATATCAGTCTGCTGTCTGTCAATCCATCTTCAAGTCCAGATGGCATGAATGCAGTGATAACTTTGAAATTTCAAACAACCTGCAGCATTCTTCAATTACCATTATTTTGTCTGTTTTCATCCCAAATTCAGGAATTACAAATGCAGACATTTGGTTGCGGGAATGATACCAATTCAGTTTGTTGTGAGGTACCAAAATGGCGAAATGAAAGCTTTATTCAAGTGCGTTTGACCTCGCCGAATCACTCTTCAAATGCTCTAGATTACTTGATTTACAAAAGCCCATATATTTCGAATTTGGTACCATCATCATCATTTCTTGTTTCAACACAATTCGCTTTAACTGTGCAAGGCTCTGGTTTTTCCAATGACATGGTCTGTGTCTTTGGGAGTAATGGGACCAAATCTGTAATATGGTTCCAGTCAAATACAGCAATCATATGCCACAGTTCTGGTCTTAAACCGGGTAATTACACCTTTCAGCTCAAGTCCAGAGCCAGCACATTCACAATTAGCAATCCCTCAATTTTTCAGCTAAACATCGCAAAACATATCAATAACATTGTTCCCAAATTTTCTTTTGAAGGTCAAAGATCAAGTCTGACAGTGAGTGGAGGACCTTACAGGGATGATGGAAAGTTGAAATGCAATATAATCTATCCAAATAATTTGACAAAAGAAGTTACAGCAACGGTGCTAACAGATCATCAACTGAAATGCGTTCTCTTCCCACAATTACCTGGAAAGTACCTTGTTGAAGTTGTGCAAGACTCGGTCACTGTTTCGCACACCCAGGAACGGATGCTCTTCCACGAGGTTGTTCCCTTGCCCTCAGTAGATAGCATGTTTCCGAGCACGGGTCCAGTAGCGGGCTTGTCACAGGTCACAATCATCGGAAAGAATTTCTTTGGGCTACAATCTATCTCAAGAGACGTATACTGTGTATTCGACGGGACGAAAGGGGCACCTGGAAAAATAGGAAGCGATAGCGAGGTCCTATGTCAAACGTCTCCACATGCGGTGGGGACGGTCGGAGTTGGTATACAGGTCTCATCGATGCCAATGCTTGATACCATGCTCCGTTTCGAATACCACGCGGTACCTAAGATAATGCAGGTGAGTCCCAGCATTGGGCAATGGTCGAGACATCCAACGGCGGTGACGGTCTACGGGGAGGGCTTTTTCGATGGAGAAGGGCTTTCTTGCATCGTCGGATCAAAGGGGAGCTATAAAGGGAAATACATTTCTTCATCTGCTGTCGTCTGTCTTCTTGAAAACCTTGACGGAGGTAATCATACTGTGACCATCAGCAACGATGGGGTCACTTACATGAAGTCGGATGTGTCCATCGAGATGCTTTCTCGCTCTATGATCATGTCTGTGAAACCTTCGAAATGTTATTGGGTACGTGGAATGAAGCTGACGGTATTTGGGAAGTCATTTGGGCCTAGAAGTGACTTCAAGTGTGTCTTGACTTCCTGGTCAGTAGCTCCTATAGTGATAGAGGGCAAGCTGATAGGCCTGGACACCGTCGAATGTCTGTTACCGTGGATGAGCATTGGAAAGTACCTTGTTGAAGTTGTGCAAGACTCGGTCACTGTTTCGCACACCCAGGAACGGATGCTCTTCCACGAGGTTGTTCCCTTGCCCTCAGTAGATAGCATGTTTCCGAGCACGGGTCCAGTAGCGGGCTTGTCACAGGTCACAATCATCGGAAAGAATTTCTTTGGGCTACAATCTATCTCAAGAGACGTATACTGTGTATTCGACGGGACGAAAGGGGCACCTGGAAAAATAGGAAGCGATAGCGAGGTCCTATGTCAAACGTCTCCACATGCGGTGGGGACGGTCGGAGTTGGTATACAGGTCTCATCGATGCCAATGCTTGATACCATGCTCCGTTTCGAATACCACGCGGTACCTAAGATAATGCAGGTGAGTCCCAGCATTGGGCAATGGTCGAGACATCCAACGGCGGTGACGGTCTACGGGGAGGGCTTTTTCGATGGAGAAGGGCTTTCTTGCATCGTCGGATCAAGAAAGTCTTGCAAGGCTCACGTTATTTCATCAAGCGCTATTATTTGTGATGTAAGGGATTGGATCAATTCGAACACATCGATTCACATTTTGATGGGTGCTTATCGTTCAAACGTGTTATCGCTTTTATATTTTCGTCGTACTTCCTCAAACTCATCTATCAGTACATGTGATGTACAAACAAGCGAATTGAATATGCACTCTTGCAACACTATGCGCGTGGTATTTTCTGGGTCTTTGCAAAGCTGTCCAATGATGACATGTGTAATCGGAAACAAGAAAATCGATGCTGAATTTATATCTTCATCCATAGTAGGCTGCACAACCTCAGTACTCCAAGAAGCCGAGTCTGTAATTCTACGTGATTTGAAGAGCAATATAAGTTTGTATACATTTCGCTTACCTCCTTTGAATTCAGAAAAAAATGGTTTCAACTTTGTTCCCTCTACCGCAGTAGTAAAGCAAACAGTCGCAGTATCCATTGTAGGGAATCAATTCTGCAAATTCCCTGGCATCGCACAATGTCGGATTGGAGAAAACGAGTGGTTCAGAGCCTCAATCCTGACGTCGAGTGTAATTGTCTGTGTTTTGAAACCTAGAGTTCCAGGCTCTTTCTTGTTGCAGCTTGACCTTGACAAGATGGAATATAGTAGCTTGTCAAGTTTCGAAGTTTTCTCGTTATGTTCTATCGAGATATTACATGGACGTCTTATTGCTGAGGCAAATTTGATATCTTTACTTTTTCATCTTGACTGCAATAGAGTTCTTCGTCAACAACTTATGGGCTGTGTTAATTCTAAATTTTGGAGTCCTTTAATGCTGATGAATAATTCTTTGGCGAGGTGCGATATTCGAAAATATTTCAAAGATGAAATCTTTGGATTTCATCTAATCAACGACTATGGTCAAGCAAGCGAAGAATATCTTTTTTCGGATCGTTTCATTTCAAACTACACATGTAGCATGATTCCGATACCTGCAATGCGCAGGAACGGTGTGTCACAACACGCAATTCATTTTTCGCATCACGCAATCTTGAAGGATTTGATGTTTGCATTGGTAGCAGGGTTGAGAGTTGACCTTTCTCATCTGAATGGAAACACAGTTATCAACATTCCCTCCGAATTTGAATCTGGTCAATACGACGTAGACCTTGTCATTGATCATTTGCATACAATACCATGCGGAAGTATTAATCACACACATGAATTGGTGGTGCATTCCATCAGCCCAACAATAATTGTGTCCAACATCCAAACAACAGTTACCATAAACGGCATGGGATTCAAGTCACCAGTCTGCGTGAAATTTGGAACTTTTCAATTCAAAGCAACAATCTCTGATCCGATGACGATCCAAGTCGATGTTTTTCTTTCCAAAGCTGCGAACTTCTCAATATCTATTGCTTCTAATTGTTATAAATTTGAGCCAACTGGAATCAGGGTGAATGTGATAAATTCTTTGCTGTCTGTGCAACCCTCCAAGGGTTATGTGAAGAGTGGGATGAAGCTGCATATCAAATCCCATGACAGGCTAATTAAGTCATGCTTTTTTGGAAATTTGACCGTTGATGCATTCCATGCAGGTCCGAACCATTTCATTTGCAACATTCCACATTTGACATCAGTCCAATCGCTTACAGTAGGGGACGAACATATCAAAATTCAAGTAAGACATGCTCTAATTATTCTACCTGAAATTCAGATCCTTGAGGTTTTGCCGATTGTTCGAGTGCTATCTACGAAAAGTGTGACAATTCGGACTACTTCGGACAAATCTTCATTGATTGCTGAAACCATGTGGTGCAAATGGAACCACGAAAAACAATGATTCAAAGGCTACAAAGAGATACTTTTCTGTGCATGACCCCTATCTCTAAGTCAAAAATCGAATTTCTTGACATAATAGTTGGAAATGTTACAATTACAAACAGAAAAACTGCAATAATGTTTGAAAATGACCCGATCGTAGAAAAGCTTGTAAAAGTAAACCAGCGAAAATCGAGAAAAACAGAAATACTTCTGCAGGGAAAATACTTTGGAGACACACAAGACTTGCAATGCAGAGCCGGGAGAAAAGCATTGTCGCTGGCGAGATGGATGTCGAGCACTTTGGTTGCGTGCGTGGTGCAAGGCGCCCATTGCAGGTCGGAGAGCTGTAACGTGACGATTGAAGTAAGCAACAACGGAGTAGACTTTTCCGAGGCGGCGCGTGCTCGGTTTGAGTACCGGGGGAGCGAGATAGGGAGGCTGGAGCCTTCCTGGGGGCTCGCTGGACGAGCGACGGAGGTACGGGTGACGCTGGGGTACAGGGCCTGGGAGGGAGCGGAGACTGGAGACAGGTTATGTCGCTTCGGGGACGTGGTTGTATCCGGCGTCACGGCGTCAGATACAGGAGGAGGGACGGTGTGCAAAGCTCCGCCGCAGAGGGTAGGGGTGGTGATGGTGTCCCTGAGCACAGACGGAGGCCTGCACTACGAAGAGGTCGGAGCAGGCTTTGAGTACATTGCGGGAGTAGAGGTCGTAGGGCTAGAGCCGTCTCAGGGACCGTGGGAA